TCACCCCGAGGGTCACCCCCACCTACCCTGTAACAAAACCTCGTTGTCCGGTTGGCACGTCAGCAGACACTACAATGAGGTGACCGTAAAAGTGTCCTCAGGGTGTTGTTGCTCTACCATGGGTCCCAAAAACCCGCTCTTCTGGGTGGGGGCCATGACGGGGTGCCCTTGGGGTGCAAAACTGGGGTACCTGTAGTTGTCCTGCAGTTGCAGCATTGAGTCTCTTGGTACGGGGGAGATGTTCAAGTCATTGATCAAGGGACAAGCGTAGGGTCCTCGGTGGTGCGCCCGGGACATCTCCAAGGGTTCCTTCTCACCCTTGGAGGGGTGGGTGCTGCTTGGGCTGCTCAAGTGGGGGTTGAGACACGTGGGGTCCGTCCTCCCCATGAAGTCTACCAGCATCCCGGCCCCCGCTTTCCCGTCGTAGGAAGGGCTGCGGGTGCTGGCGTTGGGGGAATACCAGTACGGGGGGTTTTTGCAACTGGGGGAGTCATAGTGCGGTTGAGGCATGGGGAGATCGCGGCACGGCAGGTGGGGGGCGTGCGGCAGGGACCCCCCCTGCATGCTGTGTTTGAGCGAGTCGCAGGCGGGCAGCTTCCGGATGTCCCCGGCCCGTAGGTCCTCCTTGAAGGCCAAGGTTGGGGAGCAGTTGGGCGAGAAGGCTTTCTGCAAACCGGCCTCAAAGACAGTCTGCTGGCCGGGACCCGCCAGCTGGTGCGGGAGGGCAGGGAAGTGCTTGCTCTCCAAATCCGGCTGCCCCAAACCGGGGGAGTCACTCTGAAAGCCCTGGACAAATGTCCCGTCCGAGGGGGTGGAGGGGTTCATGGAATAGGGGCCGGCGTAGTCACAGGGGTCCCGCTCGCCCACCCCGAAGCCCCGGGATTGGGAGGGCAGGGGGGACATGCTGCTGTCCCCGCTGTAGTAGTCCAAGCCCAGGTCCGTGCTCTCCTGGAAGAGGGGGTTGACCACCTGTGACTTGGTGGGGAACTTGGCCTTGCCCGTCCCCCTCTCCTTCTTGGAGGCACAAGCTCCCCGGGAGCCCCGAGGCTGCCGGGGTCCTGTGCTCCTCTTGGAGGGGTAGACAGAGGAGGAGGAAGAAGAGGAGGAGAAGTTCAGGTGGGAGGTGTCAAACATGTCCACCTTCTTCCGTCGGCCTCGACCGGGCTTGGAGTTGCTCTGGAAGAGGACACTCTGGTTCCAGTTGTAGCCTGGGGCAGAGGATGCCTCATTCCAGTCCATCATCAGCTTCTCCAGGCTGGAGAGGCTGGACTGGCCCTCGCTGGAGGAGGCCTCGCTGTTGGCACGCCGGTAGCCGGCCGGCTGGTTGAACTGGGTGCTGTCAGAGGAGGACTCGGAGAAGGTCTCTGAGACCGTCTGCTGCTTAGCTTTCTGCGGGGTGTAGTTGGAGATGTCCAGGATGACATTGGGCTCGTTGAGGTGACACTCGAACCCTGGGTTGTAGAGCTGGCTGAAGGCCTCCGAGCTCCAATCCAACCCACCGTAGCCTTGCCGGAAAGCCCAGGGCGCGGCGCTGGGGAACTGCCGGCAGTTTTCGGGTGAGGGTTGGAAGGAAGCTGAGCCCTTGGGCACCATGTAGCCACCGGGCGACACGGTGCTGGCCCGGCTGTCGCAGCGCAGGGGGGTGTGGGCTGCGCTGGAGAACTGTCCCCCTTGCTCGGTGCTGTTGAAGAAGGCAGCTTTGCCCAAGGGCAAGCTGGGACCGGCCGTCGGCGGCGCGTAGCCGGCACTGTGGGCACTGCTGGGAGAGGAGGGGA